GGGGTCAGATGGGTTTCCGGATTTGAAAATGGGATGGACTATGGAATGCTTCCATTGCTCGGGGATGTCAGATTTCGAGATGCAGGTGTTTATGATGTGCTGTATGACGCTGCCAATAGCCCAGAAACTGGTTTTTAGCATGCGGATGCACACACCGTCCGCTCCGCAGGCGGCTGAGTTCCGCATACTGAAAACCGTGCATTCGAGCTCACCGAGTGAGATAGGTCTGGGCTGGAAACCGCATGCGCCGACGCGTGGGAGCCGTGCGTAAGTATAGGTACCTTTGTTTTGGTTTCGGATGTCGGTAGCAATACGGGGGCCGACGGATACGAAAAATGAGTTTAGTTCGTCAGCGGTTACATCGGGTTGAACTGTTTTATTTTCTTTTTTACCAGCTATGACTGATTTGATTCCCTGCCACACCTTGTTGGGGCCGCGTTCACTAATTTCCCGCTGAATCACGTTACGCCGGTCACGGCGAACGGCAGAACGAACTGAACGATTCAGGTCTTTATAAACTGTGGATTCCCGCCCGTGCAGTCGTAGTGCGGCGCACCGTTGGGCCATGATATCACGGGTGGAGGCTGAGACGGGGGGAGCGGTGGGGTTTCTGATAACAGGTTCTTTAAAGGGGCATGGTCATCTAGGACGGGTAGGAAATGGGTCAGAAAAGCTTGCCATTTGTCATGCACGGTCATTGCAGTGAACACGTCGTCCCACACGATGGACATCAAGTCATATTTAGGGACGCGACATCGACACGGTTGATTGAGCGGGTTGTGATGACAGTTGCAGTTTTACGCTGTTTAGGTACGTTAACTAGCACGTTTACCAACTTGTGTGGGCTAAAGTGACAGTGTTTTACATGACAGTCGAGCACGAGCTCACGAGTTTTGACAATACATACGTCAAGGAGTGAGCCGGAGCTGTACGTGGGTGCAGTTACAAGTTGATCGAGAGAGTAGTCCGATAAAAAGTCACTTAGGTGAATACGCGCGCGGAAACTCCGGTGTTTCAGCAAATCGCAGTTTAGGTCGCCGCAGATGACAAACGGAACCTTGGGGTGGTCGATCAGGTTCCGTTGCAGCTGCGACTCGAGATCGTTGAAATCAGCGCGTAGGGCAGTGTCCGAGTAGCGGGGCGGTCGGTAGAGCGAGCAGACAATTAGCTGACGATCTTTCTCCAGTTTTAGGAGGATCCACTGGGATTCAAGCTGACCAGAGTTGTGCCAGAGTTGTGCAGTTGGGGTGCTGCTGCACGTGCGCACGTGCAGGGGTCGATTCCAGATCTCGAGAACGGCTGGACCGATGACGCTCAAATTTGGTACATGGTTAGGGACCGGTTAGTAGGGTGCCGTGCAAAAGTCAGTTGGGACCCATTTTGCACGTGCGCACGTGCAGGGTGCCGCTTCCAGATCTCGAGAACGGCTGGGCCGATTGTGCTCAAATTTGGCACATCGCTAGAGACCGGTTAGTAGGGTGCCGTGCACAAGTCAGCTGGAGGTACCCCCTCGAAATTTCGCACGTGCAAGGCCCACCCTCTCGCTCGCTCCGTTAGTCGCCCCAAAAGGCGTTATACTGGTACTGAATTAAGGGAAAATCCTGAGTATGAGCGGCCGTGGGGACGCTCTTCAAAAGCTAATATCTTAGGAACGGGACATCCGATTGACAAGCGGTCTTCTTTACTGAATGTCACTTGGACGTAAAAGTTCTGTGGTGTGATGGCCACCATGCGTTCTTGCCAACCACCGCACGTGGCGCGTGGTAAAGTTGGACATTTTTTAAGAACCCCAAAATTGCAACCTCAATAACGGCACAACGGTTGGGCCGATTGAATTGAAACTCGGTACACAGTTAGGTCTCCATCAGATAATTCATCTGCATGTGTTAAGGTTGGGGTGCTACAGCACGTGCGCACGTGCAGGGGGCGCTCCCAGATCTCGAGAACGGCTGGGCCGATTGCGCTCAAATATGGTACACGGTTGGGGACCAGTTAGTAGGGAGCCGTGCAAAAGTCAGTTTGGACCCCGCTTGCACGTGCGCACGTGCAGAATGCCGCTTCCAGATCTCAGGAACGGCTGGGCCAATTGCGTTCAAATTTGGCACACCGCTAGCGACCGGTTAGAAGGGTGCTTTGCACAGGCCCGTTGGAAGTACCCTCTCACCCTTGCGCACGTGCAGGGCTCACTATCTCGCTCGCTCGTTCTTCGCCCAAAAGGCGTTTTACTGGTAGCTAGCTATTATCAAAAGTTGAATGGCCTGCCTGCCGAAGCCATCGATCGGATTTTGTCGAAAAATACCCGTAACGTTAACAAAACACGGTCGTATGCTTGAGTCAAATTCACAATAGTTTGACTTTTCGATAATGTTTTGGGTGGATATTGGTCAGAAAAGAATGCTCTTTCCGAATATGTCGGTTTCATAGCCAGTGATCAACGTTTTCAATACGTTTTGATGTTGTAAAGGACATCACGCTCCGCGAGAATCAATTTTCAAATTAATTTTTCATTAAACCGATGACGTCACAGGTCAGGTCAAAGGCCAATTTTCACCGTTCACAGGCATTTCAAGAAATGTGTTGTGAAATCGAGTAAATTGGTAAGTTATTGAAAACCATCGATGGTACATTGTTCGTCGAACACGTACTTCGCTATCTGAGGTCACTGACACCAGGTCAGGTCACAGAGGTCAGGTCACTGGGGGGTCACAATATGAAAGTGTCGTGTGATACATGTTTTATGGTCCATTTTACATGACAAATGCGATTATGTGGGTCAGGTAGCCTTTGGGACCAGCTTAGGTCACGTTTTGGTGAAGTTCAGGTCAAGGTCAGGTCAAATTAGGTCAAATTTCAAAGTTGATATTTTTGCATAAAATGGGTATTGATTCGATGCAGCTCGTCACGGGGAGTCCAATGGTGGTCTTTGTCTTGCCCTACGTGGTCTAGAATTGCCAAAAATTGAGTTTGAATATTTGACGTCATCATTTTTGAACAGTTTTTTCGCTATAACTTGGCCAAAAAACGAGATGTAGATCTGAAATTTGGTATGTTGATAGAAGACGGTAGGTACTATCACATATATTCCGTTTTTTTAACTCAAAAAACTTTTTGGATTTTTTGGCTAATATATCCAAAAAATTGCATTTTGATTTTTGGGGGTTAACACGCGCACCGACGGGGGGGGGGCGGATATCCGCCCCCCTTGAGGGCGCCGCGAAATTTATTACGACTATTCTCTCATCAATTTTACACATGGTGTGCAAGTTTGAACCTCCGAACTTTTAAGGTCAGGTCACCAGGTCACTTTGAATGACCCAACCTCAAGTCACTTTTTTGCAACTTTGTCACCGTGCCAGAGCTACAGTAGATGTCGGAGGCCTTTGAAAGTCGCAGGATGTTATAAGGTCATTAGTAGCTACAATTTGTATATCTCGAAATTTTGATATCGATGACCTAAGGTCAGGTCAATTTCTCGACCTCCCCATTACAAGTCAATGGGGGAAAAATCAACTCCCTGTTTTTACCACTAAAACGGGTCAGAATGGCCCCATAAACCATACATGACCTCATATACGATCAACCTTCACTACCTTGAGGTCTGTTTTGCTGTTGGGCAGCTGTAAGGTCATGTGACGTCATCAAAGGTCACCAGCGGTTTTTTTACAATAACTCCGTACAGGAACAAGATACAGCCGCGCAGATGGTCTCATTGTGTTCATCTCGTCAAGGCGCATCGAATGATATACATGATGACCTTGAGGTCACGTGACCTGAGGTCAACCTTTGACCTTGACCTTTCGAGGTCAACATATATATCATTCGATGCGGATTGACGAGAGGATCACGGTAATGCCCTTAGTTTTTTCGTATATTGACTAGTTCGAAAGTTATTCGAGAAAAACTCTCCATACCTAGCGCCGCCATTTTGACTTTTTTGACCCCTGTGACGTCATCTTTGACCTGACCTGAAAATAACCTTTGTAAAAATTGTAGACCTTGTCCGTGCGTATCCCTTGCCGTTTACCGCTTGTCGCTATCTTGCTTCGTCCTCGAGATCTCAGGGGGGCGGTCATCCGCCCCCCCCCCCCGCCGTCGGTACGAAGTTAGCGCAGACCCCCGTCGGTGCGCGGGTTAAAAACTCAAAAATCTCAAAAATCCGAGATAGCAGTTTTGTAGCCCTGTCAATTCTACACCATTTACGTTCGATCAATTTTCTGTATCTTCAAAGCTGTAGGCCTGACAGCTCTTCTCGCGAAGGTCTTTTTTTTCGGTCGAAAATGGCAGAACATGACGTCATTCTCTGACGTCATTTTTGGCCAACCATCATAGCCTCTGGAAAATTTTTGGTCACAATGTGTAAAATTGATGCCCGGAGGGATCCTGAAAGTTTGGTGGCGATATCTCGAGCCGTTTAGGAGATATCGACGAAAAAGGACAGGGGGCCGTTTCGCCCCCCCCCCCCCTACGGGGCGCGGGTTAATGTGGCTGCTATGAGTTTTCTTTCGGGGTGCCGATCACAAATATCATGTAAGTTTAGATCAGAAACATATAAAACTCGAAAAAGTGAACAGAGGTCATCAAAGGTCAATGACCTGACCTGACCTTCAGGTGACCTTGACACCTACCCTTATGCATGGGATCAACATCATTTCACATGTTCGAACGCTTGAAACCACGAAAAGACTGCAAACACGTGGCTAATGCGAGCCGACATACGCCGAATCGTGATTTCGGCCAAACGTGGTCTCGAAAAGTAGGTCACAACAGGTCAAAGATCATTTGGGTCAGTGTCATGAAATTTTAGGGTAGGTGTAAAATTGATCAACTCGAAGGTACTGAAAGTTTCGTCGCGATCGGCCGTTTTTAACGCGAGTTATTCGCGAAAATCGAGGGGGGTCCGTTCGACCCCCCCCCCTATACGGGCGAGGGTTAACCAAATCCGACACGTCGTCTCCTCGAGGCTCGAACCAGTAAAAATAATCCCCACTGCAACAGCTCACCTGGGGGAGCGTCCACTCAGCCAGCGCTGGTCGGGTGCCGGCGGCTCGCGTGCCGCTGCACCCCTGGCCTCCCACCACGGCGCACTGGCTGTGTCACCACACGCAGCCGGCCTCCCGGCCCACTAGGCGAGCGTCGGAGGCAGCCGGCGACGCTCTCCCTCGGCAGACATGGCCGCCCCACGGCCGCCGGACACGTCCGCTGGAATGTGCCGGGCAACAAGGGCACGTGTGACCGGCGCGGCGTAACGGGCCATCGGTGGGCACGACGGCGCCGCTGCTGCCACCGCCACCTGTTGAGAGCCATTCCAAGTGCAGGTAATGATTCGTTCCTCCAGGGATTTCGATGTCCTGCTCAGTGTTAGCGTTCACGACACCGTCTGCCTGTAGACGAGCAACAAGAACGGGTGCAACTTTGACGCCAGCATTGGGGCCTCCAACCGTCCAAAGGTGTCTCCATTTAGCAGGGGTGGTTCAAGAGACGTATCCAAGGGGGAGCGACGGGGGCGGTCGCCCCCGTCGGGCCCCAAAAAGCGGGTTGTCGTCATTCTCTGTCCCTGTCGGGCCCCAAAAGCGGGCTCAGTAGTCAGTAGGGCCCGCTAGGCAATCCGAAAGCGGCGCTTTTGGGCGTAGCCAGGAACAGTTTGAGGTCGGCAGGGCCAAAATTTGGAAGGGCCTGTTCAGAAGGATTTGTTCGAGCCTTCGGGTTCAGTGATGGGCCCCTGGGGCCCTGCCGGGCCACAAACAGGTCCGTAACTGGGCCCTTCGGCCCCACTTTTGGGCAGAGCCAGGGCATTTGGTGCCCGGCAGGGCCCCAAAAGCAGAAAGATCTGTTCAGGAGGATACGCTCGAGCCTTCGGGCTTGAGGAAGGGCCCCTATGGCCCTGCCGGGCCCCCAAACCTTATCAATTTTGGGCCCCAAACCCTTATCGGCCCGAAGGTCCGGCTTTTGAACTTATTGGCCCTGGAGAAGTTATGGAAAGCGGATCCGAAAGAAATCCTTTTCCGGGCCCAGTCACAGGGACATCTTGGCCTGTCCGGGTCCTAGAAGTGGAAAGGCCCACTGAGAAAATCTTGTCCAATGTCCAGGCTTTCGGGTTAAAAAAATGGCCCCATGGGGCCTTGCTGGTGCCCATACGGGTCCCTGGCCGGGCCCTAAAAGCGAACCGGGCCAAGCCAATGACAACCTGGGGCTCGGGAGGTCTCCAAAAGCGGAAGGGCCCGCTCAGAAGGCCTTGGACCAGGCTTTTGAGCTTAAGTGATGGGCCCTTGGGCTCGACAATGTATCAAGAAAACGGGCCCAGATATGCGCTTCTGGGCCCGGTCTCAGAAACAGCTTGTCTTGGCCGGGTCCCAGAAACGGAAGGGCCCGCTGAGAAGGCCTTGCCCAGGTCATCGGGTCCGAGGAACTATTTGTAGTGCCTATATGCAGAGTCGCCGGGGCTGAGCCCGTCCGAATTGACAGACCGACCAGCCCCCCAAGCACTCTTTGCACCCGGCTACGGGGTGCGCTTCCTCGGGAGCAGCGGTGCCGCTCCAAGGGAGCAGCCCGCATGAGATAAAGGTGCCTGTCCAGCCCGGAGTGGGGGTTTCGGCGTGGACGAGAAGGATTTCAGTATCCTGATTCCTGAGGATGGAAACGACGGAACGGAGGAGCACGTTGCTCCGAACCTCCCCTTTACATAGCCGCGAGTAGCATTTTTTTCGGTAAAACAATGAAGGATCTGTAAGCTTTTTGTCAGCGTGCGACGGTTATATAGGCCACTAGTCGCCACTAGCTAGTCGCCACTAGTCGCCACTACCACTAGTCGCTTTTGTTTTAACATCACGGACGGCACGTATGCCATCCTCATCTTACACATTTGAATTGATTTTATTTGGCCCAATCGCTCTGGAATTTCTCAAACTCCCTGACCGGTCAGTGAGTTTGCAAACTCCCTAGTGAATTTGCAAACTCCCTATAAGTGAGTTTGCAAAGTCACTGATGGGTCAGGGAGTTTGCAAACTCACTAGGGAGTTTGCAAACTCACGGATTTCTCAAACTCCCTGTAATATATATATATATATATATATATATATATATATATATATATATATATATATATATATATATATATATATATATATATATATATATATATATATATATATATATATATATATATATATATATATATATATATATGTATATATATATATATATATATATATATATATATATATATATATATATATATATATATATATATATATATATATATATATATATATATATATATATATATATATATATATATATATATATATATTGGTATATTTTGGCAGAATATCTTTGATACATGTTTCATTGTAGACCAAGGAGTTGTGAGCTTTAGCAAGCTTCCGGTTGGTTCTTTCTATAGTGCGAATCAGTTTTTTGGTAGGGGAGAGTGGGGTAAGATGCCCAGGGTGGGAAAGACTAGGGGGTGGGGCACCCCCTCTAGCGGCGAAACAAAGAATCGAAACCGGAAATAAATGTTCTTAGCGTAAAGCGGAAGCCTGCCTTGTTAACTGCAGAAAAGTTTGCGAAGCTCAGTTGGGCAACGGCTGGATGGTGAATACATGTTTTTTATTTGCTGCTTTCAAAAAATATTTTGGTGTCAAAACATTGTAAATATCGAAGAAGGTAGATAATTTTTGCCTTCCTTGCTATAGTCGTGATACATTAACATGCGTGTACTGTGTTCCAAACAGTTTGTTTCAGGGCGTAGTTTTATGGCTAACAAATTGTACTGATTTAATGTTACTTCGGTACCTTGGGGTAAGATGCCCCCTGCCCTGATGGGGAAAGACGCCCCCCTAAATACGTAGGCTGTCCTTCAAGCAGCCCGTCAAATCATTTATTACATGCTTGTGATGAGAGACAAAAGCCGATCTGGGACTGTTGAGAGTCCAGTACACTCGGGTGCTCCCCATGCCGGTCTCTCGGCCCACACAGCGACTTTTTGGACTGCATCTGACTCTGAGAGCCCTCACAACGGCCTCTGTGGGCCCCATTATTGGCTCCAGGGCCCCTCACGACATCCTTTGAGGGCTCCCACGTTGGCTCCACGGGCGGCGCTGGCATCTGAGGTCCCCACGATGGGCTCGAGGGCCCTCAAGCATCATGAAGACCTATAAGGGCCCCACAGTGGTCTCCGAACGCCACCACGGAGGCTTGTTTGGCCGCGCTGGACTATGGTGGCCCTAACGATGACCTCTGAAGCCCCTTACGACCACTTTTGAGGGCCCTTACGATGACGTTTGGTGTCTACTGCAGGCTCGAAGGGACTATTGATTCGTTCAGGCGATTCACGTGCCCATTTATGTCACTTATAGTGCAGGGGGCATCTTCCCCAACGCCAGGGGGCGTCTTTCCCACCCTGTGGGGTAAGATGCCCCCTTTCACTTCTTCAGGAAAATGCTTAATAGCAAAAAACTTATCATATTTCAGGCACGAAAGTGTGATATTTTTGGAGAAAAATGATGTCGGCTTCCGTTGAAACTCCAAGTTTTTGCTTTCCGATCGTCATTTTCGAATAATATATGACATAGTAAAACCCTGGGCATCTTTCCCCACTCTCCCCTACCAGACGGAAGACCAAATATTAGTTGTCCAAAATTGCTCATTAATGAGTCACACAATCGTTAAAATCGTTAAAAATAGGGGAAGCCGGGGGAAGCCCGGGCGCGGGGGAAGCCCGGCCACCCCGTTTCCGGCTAAATTATTCACAATAAAATGCTCAACTGTTTGTCCTTTCAGCGTGACAGCTAAGGTAACGCCAGCAAAAAAGTTAAGGCTAACAAAAATTGCATATTGTTAAAGTTATAGAGCAAAAATGATTTTTAAAGGGTTTATAGCTAAAAAGTGAGATATGTTGCACTGTTAATGTTGTACCATACAGTGCTAATATTTATACGAATGTTTTGTAAGGACCGTTTAAGTGTTTGTAGTGAGGGGTGACGAGGCAGGCTGGCTTAAGTGTGACATTTTTTCGAACATCGCTGTTCTAAAATAAAAATTAGCACATTGGGGTAACCCCGGGCGAGTGGCCAAGCTTACCCCCAACCGAGAGCAATGCCACTAAACCACTGTTTTCCATGAGATAATAGGTACTGAGCAGGTTTGGTTTACACCTAGATCAAAGATAAATTTCGAAAATAAACATGTTATCATAGACAAAGCCAGTCATGTCACTTAAGGTCAACTAGGGTCAAACTACGTTTTTGCAGATAACGCGACAGACAAAGAAGCTAGAGCTTCAAAAATGGTGTTGTTGTGTTCTTCTTCATCAGCCGAGTCGAATGATATGCAATATGATGCATTAAGGTAAAAAGAAAAATAAATTTTAAGGAATTTTGAAATATACATTTTTTTTGTCAATTTTGCATCACGATTTTCATCGACCTATACTGTATATGTGGTAGACGCTAGCTAAAATACCAGTAGTGACATAAACTCTGAGATGTCCAGAGCTAATCAGTACCTTAATATTTCACTTTCCGTTAATATTTGGAAGACAGATAATGGTTTCATCAACTCGTTGTAAAGCGCTGGGGAGGTGGCCGGCGTTACCCCTATGCCGGGCTTACCCCAGAAAAATCAACACTTTTTTAAAACTCGATTTTCTCAACCTTACACTTGTTCCACGAAACCGAATTTTTGGGAAGACACGGCCAATGAACTTAGCTAGCTAACAGGATATCAACTTTTTATACAGCACGTATGGTATGTAATAAAAATGAAAAAGAGCTTACTATGCCGGGCTTCCCCCGGCTTCCCCTAAGTGACGTTTCGGTTTATTGTCTCTAAACCATTATCAAACAAGTCGTTCACGAATCGAAAAACACAGTACCAGATGCAGTTGTTTTACATAATACATGACAAAATGTCTCGTGAATAGGGGTAAGACCACTTCTTTTAGACATATACACAAAAATACCTATCACCTAAGAAGGAATTGCGCAACGTAAGGGTGACTAGACTAGTCACATACAAGGCTAATCACACGGACACATCGTTCTTGACGTCCGGATTAGCGCCACAGGCCTAGTGTGACACATGAGTTGACCTGTTTGTTGAGTGTTGGTGTGTGCTGTCTAATGAGTAAGGCTTCAGCAATGAAAAGTCTATATTTGTTGTGTTCTGTTTTGATGATGTCTGTGTTTTC